AAAAAAACAACAAAAATAACGACTTTATTTCAACTATTCACTTCCTTCTCCATGAGCCTGTAGTCAAGTAACGTAGTGTGATTGGTGTAGAGCTACGTCACATGTAGGCTCACTATTGGCCGACGCTGGTCATTTTGTGTGATGCGTGTGACGTACAATAACAGAAGCTTACGCTATTAAACTAGTAACCTGACTCGCGCAGAGGGAGAAATAAACGAATAGTTGAAATAAAGTCGTTATTTTTGTTGTTTTTTTGCGCACAAAAGTGTTCTCGTCGTTTGATAAACTTAAGATTGAGCCCCTGTAGTCACTTGGACTATTTTAACGATGTCTTTTATGACTTTTCGGGGACAGCAAGAGCCAGTCCCTCAAGAAGCCTATGGACTGTATGCAGAAGCGATCTTAATATCTTAAATATCTTAATTTGTGTTCCGAAGATGAACGAAGGTCTTACGGGGTTGGAACAACATGAGGGTGAGTAAATACTGACAGAATTTTCATTTTTGGGTGAACTAACCCTTTAAGCAGCTTCATGTTTTGTTGGTAAAAATCTATTTTGCTATCAAGATGGATTTCTAATTAAGTTTGGGGTAAACTAGTGTGACAATTGCTTTTCCAAGAAAAAAAAAAACTACTTTTTGTCTAACAAGAATTGTCTAATTCCAAGTATGAAACTCCACATTGCTTGTTTGTATTATATCACTTTGTATTGTGCATGTAGTTAACTGGCGAAAGCAATGATGCAGTAAAATCGTCTAGTTTTATTACTGTAGATGTATTCAGCGTATCTAAATGAATCTGAATAAAACGAATCTGTTAAAAGTAGATCCAGACCGATATATCGGCCGATATTAGGCATTTTCCAAATGGCTGATAAATGAATATTTAAAAAATAAAATAAAAACGGATGAAACACGCTTCAATCATCTCTCCTTGGCCTGTTATATTGAAAATGTATGTTTTACAATTTGCAGTATGATGTCATCTATTGCTAAATTATGACTCATCATAGACTAGCTAACCACAAAGCTAGCCTATATGCCACTAGTATCATGGAAGTGGAAGACCGCTAACGTTAACATTAATGAGCTTGGAAACCACAATGAACTTTTTCTGCCTAAATAAAGTAATGATTACTGTATTTATAGCTAGCATATCTCTAGTTACAGTCCTTGCATTGTAAAATGTAAGTTATACTTGCGAGGAGTGAACATTTAGACATAGAGAAAAAGTATCAAACGTATCTTGTGCAGAAAAGTTAGCTTTTCTTTCACACGTGTGTGAAATCCAACAATATTTAGTAATAATAAAAAAATATCGGCCGATATATCGGATTTTAAAACCCAAAAATATTTGTATCGGTATCGGCCTTCAAAATCCTTTATCGGTCGGGCTCTAGTTAAAGTTAATTTTGTCAAATTTAAGCTATAAGCCTGATATTTGAAGCTGTTCTCCTTGAAATATTTTGTAACATTTAACATTTTACCATATTAACTTTCTTCTATCCATAACTGTAAATATTTTTGGCTTTGTGTTATTTGAATATTGTTGGCTTATGACAAATTGCCTCATTTGTACTGTACTCTAAATTGATGAATGTAAATGTAAATATTTTTTCAACTTAAAGTGTTCATACTGCCTAAAATTAAGTTTAGTCGACTTGAAATGTGAAGTTGTAGTAGGTCGACCCATAGATATATATATACACTAGAACTCGTCTTGGGGTTCTAAGCATGCGTCAAAACTGCCGCCATCTTGGAACTGGGGTCTTGTCTTAGGAAGTAGCCTGTACTTCGAATTCATGGATTTTTGGACTTTTGTGTTGCGTATGAACGAAATCTGGAACTAGGAAGAATTTTTTTTTCTTTTTTTAAAACAAAACATTTTTTCATTCGTTCCAATGAACTGGTGTAGCCGAGGCGACATCTAGTGTATATATCTATGTTGGTAGGTGTCAACTTATATATTTGAGTTCTCAACCAGATAAATCCGGGATATTTGAGTTGGATACTTGTATATTTGAGTTATCTCAAGTTCAATTCAGCGACATTATTGCTGCTAAATTTTGTTTTATAGAATTTAGGACTTTTCTTTGATTTATGGTAGTAGTTTCTTCAGCTGTTTCTTATTGTTTGTAGATTCTAATGTAGTCAGGCTTGGTAAAAAAAAAAATATTATTTTGATTTTAACAAAATTAGTTAATTTAGACATGACTTAGGGACATCTAAATGACAATCTCAGGCTTAGTTCCAGCAGGACTGACTTTGTAAGGGTGAATAAACAAAATAATTCAATGGTAGAGCCCGACCGATAACGGATTTTGAAGGCTGATACCGATACAAATATTTTTGGGTTTTAAAATCCGAAATTACGATATATCGGCCGATATTCTATTTATTTATTTAAACTGGACATGATAGTCACAAATTTTGTCATGCTTATTTGAGTTAAGAAAACTGATGGGGATGTTTTTTTATTTGTTATTCAAGCAATGACCAACTCAACGAGTGTTGCCAACAGGAACGGTGTAGAGTGCCCTCTGGTGGACAAACTATACAACTCCAACACTCATGATATGGTTCAAGTGCGTTTCGTTCGTTTTAATTTCATTGTTGAAATATTCATTTATCGGCCATTATAACTGCCGATACCGATAGTTTGGGAAATGCCTAATATCGGCCGATAATATCGGTCTGCCGATATATCGGTCTGGCTCTATTCAATGGAATAGAAATGAACAGGATATATCCAGGATTTGTCCAGTTTTTGCATGTCTTGCAGCGTGTATGAGGTGAAGCTGCCGTTGTTCTCCCTTGGCAAAACATAATCAGCTGAATTTTTCATGAAATGATTTTGCTTTGCTTAACTTGATTGGCATCCGCTGACACGGACAGCTGTGTTCAACCAATCAAACGTCATGTTCCACCCACACGTCTTGAGACATCTGTCAATCCCGGCAGAAACGAGCTTTGTGTGTGGAGCGTTAAAGACGGCTATTGTTGCTGTGCTTCTGATGGACAGCATCATCTCCCGGGATCTCGAACGCAAGCCTGTTACGTTCATCTTAAATCTTTCTATAACAAATTTGCATCGAGAAAATAACTAACTGTGTATAATAAACTCCATATACAAATCACAAATGAAATCTTTTTAATATTGCAAGCGTTTTTCCAAGACAGAAATACAATTGATAAAGAAAGACCTCATTCAAGGAACCAAATTGAGATGTTAGTGGGAGGGTTTCGTATTACATGCTAAACTAGTGGTGTTGTGTTTGATTGAGGCCTATGAGTGTGTTTTGAGATCAGGTGCGGAGATGAACAGGGCTGTTGGGGATTGGGTTCTTCTTTTTATCTGCAGGCAGCTGTCAAAATGTTGAGTGGAAAATGTTAATCTTTCCGTGTGATTGCATTGACCCTAAAGCATCAATGGCACACCGTGTGATTGTCTCCGTGACAGCCGCCCACCTCTTACTGGTGTGAAATCGCTTTCATGGTAGAAAACACTACCTGTGCCGGTGGACACAGGTGGGATCCAGCTGGATTTTATGTTACTGTCACATTAAGATACAAATTTAACATATGAATGTCAGATATATGAGTGCAAATGTGCCAAATGTACCCTGTGGGAAATTACTAGTAAGTGTGGTGTTGTTTACCTAGCAGCCCCAATTGGACCACTAGACCAAATCACTGAGGTAATGTTTCTACTGCACAGCGACAAGTCGACTAGATATCTGTGAGCTATGTGCACAAATCTGAAACCAATGACTCGATTAAATCTGTGACCTTTTAATCTGCACCCAACAGCATTGTCATTTCAATAATCTGACCTTTCATGTTGTGACTCAAGGACTGTTATGAAAAATGATAACCATTTTGATTGGTTTAATTGATTGGTTGACTTATTTATTTATTTATGTTGTTTTATGGCCTTGACAGTATGTGTGCATTTATATGCGTGCAATGTTTTGTTAGCTTTGTCTTGTCTGGGGGACCGCGGATGAAAAATAGCCTCTGGCTAAATCCGGTACAAAACATGAAATGGTAATTTTATGTTAAAAATGGTGCATGGTCCCTTCATAAATAAATAAAGAATACATACATTTGTCACTGGTAATTCCACTTCAACAAATAATTTGGTAACACTTTATTTTGGTCCCTTTTAGATAGTATTTTTGACTATAAGTAACATTGCATCTACTGTACATGTCTGCTAACTTTCATTAATGTTAGTTGAACATAAGTAGACTGGTAGGGTTAGTAGAATATTTGCAAAGTTACTTCTAGACAGTATATGTGTTTGGGGAGCATTGAAACAAAGTGTTAGCAGTTATTAAACAGACGGTTTACTAATAGCCTACTTTAACGAGAGTTAGTTGCTTATAGTCAACAGAATGTTCAAAGGGGACCATCAAAATAAAACGTTACCAATAATTTCACCATTATTTATTGATATAGCTTTCCACTCATTAAAATATCCTCAGACATTCTAATTGTTTTAACAAACAAATCAAGCACCGGAGAGCATATGAGTGGTTTGGTTTGAAAGTCTTTCCTGGCAGTGGGATATTGAAGATGGATTTGAAGACTCAATCGTCTTTAAAAGCTCAATTAATCAAGCGTATAGTCTTACAAAGATGAGCTTCTGCAGACACTTTTTAACATCTATAAATAAAGGATTCTGTCAGTATCTGTTTGTGAATACACCACCTTTCAAAAGTGTGCGATAAACTATGGCGACATTTATTTGATTGAAATAAAAATACTTTATTATTACAAATGTTTTTACTGTAACGTTTGATCAATATACTGCATCCTTGCTGAATAAAAGTATTTTCATTTTCTATTTTGTGTAAAAAAAAATTACTTGCCACAAATGGTAGTGGTCCGTAGTACCTGAATATATATATATATATATATATATATATATATTAACATATATATTAGGGATGCATCGGCCACCATATCGGTATCAATTTACTGTTATCATTATCGGCCGGATAAGAAAATTTAGCCAATATATTAACGCCGATAAATAATGTATTATTTCCTGTTCAACATGATGGATTTGAATTGCTTGAGGACAGTAAATTGCAACATGCAAGGCTGTCATATCCGCTACATAAAATTATAACGAGAACTTCATTGTAATTGTGTGTTTTGGACGTGGATTTTAATGGTGAGACTACTGTTTTTGTAATCAGGTTCTCAAAAATTATATAAAAATTTGGGTTTAGATTTATCGGCCAAAATATCGGTTATCGGCTTTCAAATATAAAGAATTATCGGTTATCGGTATCGGCCAAAATTTTCATATCGGTGCATCCCTAATATATATATATATATATATATATATATACACACACACAGTGTAAATGTAATATTGATCTCTGTTTTGCAGAATGAAATGCCGAGTTTGTCACGCTGACGTTGGCTGGTGCTCTCAGATAATTTCTTTGGAAAATAAACAGCCATTCAGTTGTGTTTGTTGTGTGCTTGTTTTCCAGATTACGATGTTTGATAAAACAGTTGGAGAGGGGAGAGGCGTCTCTCGTAGACCTAAAGAAAAACCTGGAATATGCTGCCACTGTTTTGGAATCAGTCTATATTGAGGAAACAAGGTAAAGTATGGTGTTTACACTTATATTTTACTCGACCACTCTCCTTGGCCAAATTTTTAAACACAACCACTGCCAATTGACTTGGAAATTAAAAACAAGTTGAAACTCATACATTTAAAATTAGCTTGGAATGGAAAAAAAAAAAACATATTCGTGACTTATTCCTATTCTTGTGTTGTTTCGTGACATCCATCAGTTGCAAACTAACTGCACGGTCCATTTACAATGAATATTAATCTCCAGGCTATTTTCTATTCTCGTCAAAATCTTTGACTCCGCTGGATTGCTCACAAAGCCGTAACCGCGCATTGTTCAGTCTTTCCATGTCAGATGCTAATCCAGCTTTTCCACACTAACCCTAAGTGGAGTCATTGTAAAGGGAAGATTGTAAAATTGGTCTTGGATCAGTCTAATGGAGCTTAAAGCAATTTACTCTTGCTGATAGAGGTCAATTCAATTAGCAGTTAAAGATCTGTGTGCTTCAATCCCAAGATGCTTTGATTGAGTGAGTGGCCATTTGAAGGGGTCACAGGGTTCACAGGGGTCAACGCTACTGCTTTATCCTTCAGAATCACCTTAAAAAATGTTTAAAGGAATACTTCAGGATTTAGCATATATGTATTCCTTATATATATATATATATATATATACAGTATATATATACTTATTTACTTGTTTATTTGTTGCATTTAAAATTAATCTGTTTTGATAGGATATATATATATATATATATATATATATATATATATTTACTTGTTTATTTTTTGCATTTAATATTAATCTGTTTTGATAGGATATATATATATATATATATATATATTTGCTTGTTTATTTGTTGCATTTAAAATTAATCTGTTTTGATAGGATATATATATATATATATATATATATATATATATATATTTACTTGTTTATTTGTTGCATTTAAAATTAATCTGTTTTGATAGGATATATATATATATATATATATATATATCTACTTGTTTATTTTTTGCATTTAATATTAATCTGTTTTGATAGGATATATATATATATATATATATATATATATATATATATATTTACTTGTTTATTTGTTGCATTTAAAATTAATCTGTTTTGATAGGATATATATATATATATATATATATATATATATTTACTTGTTTATTTGTTGCATTTAAAATTAATCTGTTTTGATAGGATATATATATATATATATATTTACTTGTTTATTTTTTGCATTTAATATTAATCTGTTTTGATAGGATATATATATATATATATATATATATATATATATATATATATATTTGCTTGTTTATTTGTTGCATTTAAAAATGAATCTGTTTTAATAGGATATATATATATATATATATATATATATATACATTTCCTATCCAAACAGATTCATTTATATATATATATATATATATATATATATAGAAATTTACTTATTTACTTGTTTATTTTGTGTATTTGATTTTTTTCATAATTGTTATACTGCTTTTCCTTTATGCTGGCTTTAATTTAAAACGTCGTAGACATTTTCCAGTAATGGGAATTACAATGGGAAACATTTAATTACTAAAAAACAAAACAAAAGCATTACAAGAGATTTTGGCAGGTAAGAGTGTGTTTTAATCAAAATAATGTCACACGACATGCATTCACAAAATATAACGAGTTTCTTTTGGGTTGAAATGGCACCCGGATATGCTTTCATCAGGATGTGTGGATATGAGACCATGCTGATAGCTTTATTGAGAGAACATAAACGAACACCTGCAGTTTGATTCGAGCCAAAAAACTCCTCCTGATCAGTGGCATTTCATTCCCGCTCAGTGATAGTATTTAACGTCTCTGCGGGGGGATGAAGCCCTCCATCACGCCGCTCAAGTACCACTGATATCTTTTGATTCTGATGAGCAGAGTGAAGAAGAATAACAGCTGTGAATATCTAGATGCCAGAAAAGACATGATCAAAGCTTATGGAATTATGTAACGGGGACGTCATCGTGGCCCGGGATTATGACACACCCTCTCACTTACCAAACCACTGAGACCCCCAGTCCGGTCTGGTCAGATTCATATTCGCTGTGTGATTTATGACGGGTGTGGGTTTTAAATCCATCATAAGAGCTTAGGTCTAGATACACAGATGTTTATGACACAGTTACTGCGAAGATGTTTTTAGCGCTGATGTTAAAAGTCAATCCAGTGCCTTTCCAATGCTAATATTTATACCTTAAGCTTTCTTTATTTACTAGACGTGTTCTGCTGCACTTAAAGGGAACATACCATAATTATGTGGATCACTTATGGATTAGTCTTTAACCAGTGGGTCTTGGCTTGGGCTTCATTCACAGTTTAGATTAAGTGTAAATAGTCGTTTATCCTTCCTTTATGCACAACAATTACCTGTCAAGTGTAAGTGATGACATTTAAGGTGTCTTTCCCTCTCTCCCTTTTTTTCCAAGGCGATTGGTCGATACTGAGGATGAGCTCAGCGATATCCAATCAGATTCTGTGCCATCAGAGGTCCGTGATTGGCTGGCCTCCACCTTCACACGACAGATGGGGCTGATGATGCGACGGACGGAAGAGAAGCCGCGATTCCGCAGCATCGTACACGCAGTGCAGGCTGGGATATTTGTGGAGAGGTGGGGTTAACCACAAAGTAGTAGATATTCACATTTTTAAATGAAACAAAGTCTACTTTAGTTTTCTTTTTCTTTGACCCTTGCAATTTAAATGATTTTGCTAGTCTACCTTTAAAACTTCTAAACAGCCTCCAATATGATTGGTCTAACATGTAGACATAAGTGTATGTTGTAATGTCCCATTTTGAACTCTTAGTTTGGATGTCTCTTTCATTTCAAAAGATCAAAGGACATGCTATTATAATATTTATTAATATTTTGAATTGGCTGTTTTATTTTTATATTTTATAAAAAAATGTGTGTTATATCAGTTATTTTTTAATATATATATATATTTAGTTTGATGTGCTTTTGTTGTTTTTAGTATATATATATATATATATATATATATATATATTAGTTTTAATTGATTTTTATTTTTATTTCAGTCATTTTAGTACTTTGCCAGGGTAAACATTTTAAGTTTTTAATCTAATGTTGTTTTCAACTTTATTTTAATAGTTTTAGTTAATAATATTAAAATTAAAAATAATATTAGAAAATAAATACATTTAGCTGTTGTCATATTTTATAATGTCCCATTTTGAACTCTTCATTTCAAAGGACATGCTATTATAAAATTTATTAATATTTTTGGAATTAGCTTTTTTATTTTTATATTTTATAAAAATGTATGTTATATCAGTTATTTTTTAATATATATTTTCATTTTAATTTTAGTTTTTTTTTTTTAGTTTTATTTGCTTTTGTTTTTAGTGTAATATATATATATATATATATAATTTATTTATTTTTTCCAGTTTCGGTCATTTTAGTACTTCAACTTGTTCCGTTTCTTTTAGTTGCCAAGCTAAACATATTAAGTTTTTCATCTAATGTTGTTTTCAGCTTTATTTTAATAGTTTTAGATAATAATATTAAAATTAGAAAATAAATACATTTAGCTGTTGTCATTTTTTTTAACACAAAGCAGGAATCTTCCAGTGTTCATAAATCAGTCTGCATCCTCTGTCCTCTGTAAGGCCATTTATTTCCTCGCCAGGCAGCATTAAAGTCTTCAATGAAATTATTATAAATCTATGCATTGAGCTTAATGTGTATGCATATACATCATATTTTGGACAAGTCTGAATAAGTACAGTAACTCTACCTCTCTCTCTCTCTCTCTCTCTCTCTCTCTCCATCTATCTGTTAGCATCATTTCATTAAAGTATAATGCACTTCAGAAAACACTGCACATATAAATTGCTCTGACAACGCATTTACTTAAAGAAAGTGCAGGTTGCCCTCTACATTTGATGTTTTGTCATTTTAAAGGTGAAGATTATGGCATTGTGTTTGGAGTGCCTGTGGTCTATGTGTTGCCGCTTTCACTTGATGTGTTTATCTCGTTCTAACAGAATGTACCGTCGAACTTCGAACATGGTGGGACTGAGTTACCCTTCCTCTGTCATAGCTGTGCTTAAGGTAAAATACTCACACACTCTTCCATTCTCATAAGCAGCCATTGTCCAATGGCTCTCCAACTATTACATTTTTTTTTTCCAGAAAGGAAACTTTTAAAACATGCTTTTCACTTGTACGTTTTCACTTTTTAATTTGTTCACCTAACAATGGCCTATTATTTCCACCATGTTTCAGTAGGAATCTGTGGTGGAATTAAAGTGAAAATAAAAAAAACAAAACATGGGTGTCGTCTTTCTCCTTTCGCTACTTTCGGGACCACACTTTTTGTCAAATTATTTGTCTACAGCTTAATTGGAAATGATGCACAAATATATACACTGCCTGGTCCAAAAACAAAACAAAAAAAAACAAAGTCACTGTTTGGATTTAAATAGGCAAATGCTTATAATGGATAATTATTATGCATGTTATATGTTTGGCAGCAGTGCTTAAACCCTAATTGATGGAGTGTGTAGCTTGTCATTTCTTAATCAATCATGTAGAAAGACACATCGTAGCTTTATTCCGGATGACAATGTCAAGATTCATCAGGATCAAACTGTGAAAGAATGTTTGTGAGGAGCATGAAAAATCGTTTTCACAGATGAATGGTCACCTCTGAGTCGCTTAAATTCAATGATGTCTATTGGATGTGTTGGAGGAGACTTTGGACAATATTATAAGATATTAACCAAAACTTGATGCACCTCTTGATGAAAATAAATACATTTCCAGCAAAAGCTGCATCAGTTGTTGGTCAAAATATTGTATTTCACAATACAATGTGAAAAAGCTACAGACTCCACCAATTGGGGTTAAAAGAACTGTTGCCAAACATATGATATGCTAGAAATATAAGAGCATCATTATATACACTGTAAAAAATATTGTTGGTTTAACTTAAAAAATTAAGTAATTTCCATTCAAATGGAAAAATTAAGTTAATACAATGTAGGAGATTGATTTAATCATCAGAAACACAAAATATTATGTTATCTGAAGTATGTAAATTATTTAAGTTGATTTGACAAAAGAAAAAATGTTGTCATTACAAATCATGTAAATATTTTTTACAGTGTATAGTAGTGGCCAAAATAAAATCAAAATATAAGGAGAATATTTTATACATTTTAAATATTGCAAACACTACACTTGTTAAAAGCTACAAGTTTTATTGTACCATGCAAAAAGAAATGATAAAATCCCCAAAAGCTCACAAAAGAAAGCATATATTGGCTACAACATACCACAAATAAAACAAGTGACTCCTAGCACAACTATGTAATATGATTACAAAAGCTTTAATTTTTTAATAATAATAAAGACTTTAATAATGAGTTTAAGATTAAAAGCCGAGACGGGGGTAAAACAAAAATTAACATTAAGTCATAATACAGCATGAAGGCAGTTATGTAGTGAAATGTAGGGACATAAAAATGCATAACGTATTTTCTCACATTGCATTAATTTTCTTATTCGACACATGAGAACCAAAAGTGTTTAGCATCAAACCTGGCATGACGGAAGGCGTTACGCTGAATATTCAGAGGGGACGAATATCTGTGTGCTGAGTTCGTTTCTCTGCTTTTTCTTCTCAGAATGTGGACAAGTGGTCGTTTGATGTGTTTGCTCTGAACGAGTCGAGTGGCGACCACTCGCTCAAATTCATCTTCTATGAGCTCCTCACCCGATACGACCTCATCAGCCGCTTCAAGGTGAAAAACAACTCTTGAGGAAGTGAGAGAGGAGGGCTGTAATGGCCTTTTCCAGAGTTATTAACACCGTATCTCTGACAGATCCCTGTATCAGCGCTGGTCTCATTTGTGGAGGCTCTGGAAGTGGGTTACAGCAAACATAAAAACCCCTACCACAACCTGATACACGCAGCCGACGTCACACAGACGGTACACTACCTGCTCCTGAAGACAGGGATGGTGGTAAGATGAAACGCACACACAAACAGATCACATCAGAGGTCTATAACTAGATGGAATTAGTTCAAGAAGGGCTTTTAATAAAATTTGGTGACCTATAGACCTTATGATGTCATCTTTAGAATATTTTCTTTGAACTTCCAGGTTCGCGGTCGCTCTGTATATTTCTATGGCATCGCTGTCGAGGAGTAATTAGCTGGTGAAGTGGATTTACTTATTGTAGAGTTAACAACAGTTATCATGAGAATTGTAATGTTTATCATAAGCATTGTAAAGCAGATGTCTTAACAAATGTCGACCGGGAAACTTTTTACGAGCAGTTCATTCATACCTATGCAAGATCGCTGTCAAAAGACAACGAGCGCAGCACTGAAAAGGGGCGGGGCTATATAAGGTCTAAACAGTAGAAACGTGAAAACATTTTTGAAATCGGTGCTACATGACTAGAGAAACAGAAAAAAGGCACTTGTCTTACCTTTTGCCAAATAAGCCTGGCCACTCCCTATTAAGTCCTATTGTACCGAATTTTGGTTGTAGTTCCACTAAATATCCACTGGGGGTGATCGTCCGAGTGCAAAATGAATGGCAGTCTATGGAGCTAGACGGCTAAATTTGTCTCTTTCACCCGATTGCCGTCGTGAAATCTCAGATTTGAATGTAGGTTTTGCAAGTTCAACATGGGTTATAGGTCGAAAGTTGTATGAACAAGTACTTATGTCCTTTCGATTTCTTACAGCTTGAGTTGTTGTTGCCCATAACACGCTAGCATTCTGCTAATGAACGCTGATTGGTCAGTAAAGGACTGATTACGACCAGAAATACCGCTTGATGGCATCGTGGCATCCGAAACGGGACCAGATTGTTAAGGCGGACTTAACTCTTCTAGCACGTGTATTTACCTGTGTCAGCCGTGTTGTGGATGCCTCGAGAGAAAGGAAAGTGCAGAGCGCGAAAGCAAAAGGCTTTATAAAGCAAATAAGTGACTGTAAAAAATCTTAAAACCCAGTAATCTGTAATTTCTTTGCATCTTCTTTCGAAAACAACATTCAAATTACTAGACAAAAAAGAAAAGTGAGAAAAGTGGATTTTGAGGGGTATATAGCTCCATATACCTCCATTCATTCTGCACTCGTCCTGTGAGCGCCCTCATATGGAAGCAGAGTGGAACTACAACCAGTTCAGAAGCCGGAAGTTTACTGAGAGTGGAAGCTATCCCCTTATTAGACATTCTCTGCTTAAATGGAGGTTGGAGCAGGCTTCACTCAAAGTTTATATCTCAAATTGTTTTAAGAGTGCTGGCCTAATAATGACAATGCATGTATGGAAGAGAGAGGCCGCACTTTGCATATACAGTTTTATTATACACAAACGCGTTTCGGCACGCGCCGAAACGCGTTTGTGTATAATAAAACTGTATATGCAAAGTACATTCTCTGCTTAGACATCCTGCCAAATAGGTAGGAAAACTTCAACACCCATAATGGATACGCTTACCAGAGTAAAGTACCGCCTTGATTTAGTAGGAAATACTTCCTAGCAAACTTGTAATCATAATGGTTTTGACTTGTATTGTTTCCGGGTGCAGGAATTCAAAGAGTAAACGTTTAGTCAGGGCTCCAGACTAACTTTTCCACTGGTTGCACTGGTGCTACCAACTTTCTCAGTTGGTCGCACCAGCATATGATTTGGTCGCACCTTTTTTTTCAGTTTTTTTTTTTTTTTTTGCTACATGCCATGGGATTAATCAAAGTGAGTTGAACAGTCTTATTTTCCTTTTTTTTTTTTTGTAATGTCTTTAAATAACATGGGGAACATGAATCGCAATATAAAGCATAATAGACCCCTTTTCAGTTGGTAAACATGGTGACGTTTTTATGTGGGCGGAGCTTAGGTGGAGGCAGAACGATCCCTCTGGCTGCTTCACTAATGCTAGTTAGCAAGTTTTATTAGCTTGTTTTTTAACAATGACTGGAGAAAATCCGATTTTATCTTAATGTGTAAGGTCACTCACTGTCCAAGACTGCGATTGTTAAATCTAAAAGTTATTTTTAACGGATTGGCCGACCCGGAGCCACCTACACGCTCACTCAATGCATGGACGATCTGACAGGATTAATGTTACGTTATCTCGGGTGAGTGGCCTGACTTCTGCACCTACCTTATAGAGAAACCGATCGTAAAGAGAAACTGAGGGCATATAAATCTTTACATGCCTATATGGTCCTGTACAAGACTTGTGTGTACGTTCCGCTGTTCTGCCGAGCCAGCGCCGAGACCACGACAATGTAAAGAGTGTCATTACGGTGCGATTTTAATCATGTGAATATTTTTTAAGAAATAAAAAAATCCAGATACAGCATATTCATTTTTCATTGATACTTGCACCAAACAACACAATAAGATGACATTTAATAATAATAAAAGTCATTTAAGCTCCTTATTATGTAGCCGAATCTGTGCTGGTTTGCATTGACCGCCTCCAGTTTTCACTTTGTTTTGCCTCCAGCTAGCGCCGTGACGTTACTGTGACGTCGGCGCAAAAGGGGTCTATTGAATCGTAATACTTGCTTGTATCGCAATATATTGAGAATCGCATTAATATTGAACTGTGGCCCAAATATCGTGATACTGTCGAATCGTCACATTTTTGCCAATTCCCACCCCTACTGCTGACATTGTAACAATACAAAACTGATTGAAAATCAGTGAAGTTACACTTTAATTGACCAAAAACTATTTTTAAGAGTTCTAGTTAGGGCTGGGTAATAAATATCGATTTCTCGATATTAATCGATTCTCATTTTTACTAACCGATATCGATTCTTAAATCTCAAGAATCTATTAGTCATCCTGTTTCATTTGAATGAATTGAACATTGTATCGCGGCTGCGCGCATCCAAAAAAACGCAATAATCTTTGTCCTTTGTTAATATTGATATGAAACAAAGTCTCAAATTTCAAATTACGTCCATTTTCTTTAGAAATTCAAAAACAAATGACGTTTTGGCGCTGTGGCGTGAGATCGCTCTGGCGCAGCTCAAGAGAAGCAGCAGCGCTGATCTCTCTTCCGGCTTAATAATACCAGTCACAGCGCGAAATAAACATGAATGAGCATCTGAAAGTGTGTTAGAAGATAGAGTACAACTTATCGAAATCCGTATCATGTCACATTGATTCGCTCAATCAGCGTTTCAACCGTGGAAAGACGTCAGTTAAACAGCTTGTAATCAATGTCATGTATCGTCATATTTACCTCAGAAAACCCACATAAACTCGTTAGTCAGCTAGAAAAAATAACTCTAGAGAGGAGCATTTTGCTAAATATATACACTATATTACATATGCATTATAATCTTAATGTTCTTCAATATTGAATGCATATTTTAATAAATCTGGCAAGTTTTTGACAGCCACTATTTAAATGTTTATATTTCATATAATCTTCTTATTATAAAATAAATAAAAGTGTAATTTAAGTGTTTGTGTAGCTACAAAACAGTTAATTATTACCTTCATATTAGGCTAATGAAGCCTAGTAGGCTACAGCTAGACTCCCACAGTTTACAGCATTAGTTAAGAGATTTGATTCCCTTGAGAAAATTTGCCATTTATTGTAACTGATATCCAAAATAATCAATATTGAATCGAATTGAATCGGACTCGAAATCGAATCGAATTGCAAGCTTGTGAATCGAAATCGAATCGAATTGTGAAATTTGTGTCAATACCCAGCCCTAGTTCTAGTTTATATTAACAATAGCAACGCAACACTCCTTCAGGCTTGTGGAATCTCTTCCCTCATGTTTACAGCGGAGGAATGAAACGACATTACTACACCCTTCATTATCAACATGCTCTTGCGGCATAGACTGGTTTGTTGATTATAATGATCTGATGTGGCGTTCTTCCACTCGCTCTCAATTCAGATACGGTGTTAATCATCTTGATAATGTTACGGTGACAACATGTCGAAGTCTGTGGGCACGAACTCCAGAGTAACGGCGCTGAAACCCAGCGGCGTAATCATTAATTCTGCTGACACGTTTGTGCTGGCGAACGCACATACACGCATCGAAAGCTTTTTAATGAACAATCATCAGGCCTGTCATAAAGCAGCAGTTCCTGAAGAGAATCCTCATGCGGTTTTCTCATATGAGGGTCATTTGCACAAATCTCTTTATCTTGCATCTGACTTGCTCACGTCTCTCATCATGAGGATGCACTTCTGCATGACAAATGCAGTGTGATGGTGTCATTTAGCACTCTGAACTGGAGTCCCTCTATTAAATGATTAAATATTAAGATGAAGTCCTGCGGGAATAGCGTGCAGCTGAGAGCTCAAGGTCCTTCAGAGCTTTAGATTCAAGATTGATCTGTGTTTCAACATCACATGTCCATTATTTTACTGCTGTTGACTCGGGGCTTTTGGCTATTTTAATTTTAAAGTGCCCATATTATACTTGGCTATTTTGGGGCTCTCCTGGAATACATTTACATGATTTAAAAAGTAAAATAAATTCTCATAGTGTACGTTGCTGCAGCACTTCTTTTCAGTTTTAGTTCCTGTATCCATGCTGAAAAGTCCAGTCTGATTGGTCAGCTGGCCCAGTCTGTTTTGATTGGTCAACCAATGCAGGTCTCAGTTGTGAATTATTTAAATTCGGTATGAAATGGAAATTGCTATTGTGATAAATCCAAGTAAAACAGGCTTTCAAACAAGAATAAATGTAGAGCGAGGCATGATTTTGTGTATCAGGAATTGATTGGATGGTTGAATGGTCATGTTTGTCCAGCCCTCATGCCAGTAAACATCATCAGAGAAGAGAAGTGATGTCACTGTGAGAGGGAGGAGGAGTTATTTTGATGAAAAAGTACAAGGGCACATGAATTTGAAAAAAAAAAAATAATAAATATAGCTGCGAGCAGCGATGGCGGGCCCAAGCCGGTGGCACAGCAACCCGATGCCTTTAGTTACCCAAAGGCACCGGGATGGTGGTACCGCCGGCTTTGGC